TTTGGTGGTTGTCACAATGATGTGAAGAAATTTCTCACCTTCATTCTCGTGGCATGACAGCAATTGCTGGCAAATTTCAACTTTTGAAGCTTTTATCACTGCTATCAGCGCATGAGGAACCCATCTTACACAAACCTTCTGATATTGGAGAACAACAATAATGTGACCTACACATTTCTATGAAATGCCAACCTTGACAGTAATTTTCTTTTGAGAGATTTGCCAATTGTCCTTAATTAGTTCATCAAACTTTCTCTCGTAAAACTTGGTTGTTGTCACCAGTCATCTGTTCTTGATTACGTAAACCAGTTATTCCTCGTTCACCGTATTTACAATTTTTGGCCCAGGAATGCACAGTACTCACGTTGACATAGTCATCACCATAAACAGCCTGCATTAGTAGTGAATTTCAACTGGAAGAACTTTGGTGGGCAAAAATTCAGTCACAGTATATTTCTTAAAGCTTGCTGTTGAGTACTTACTGCAGGCTTCCATTTCACAAATGATAGCCACACAATCTTTTCTCATAGTAACTTCCCACCAACTGAAATGAAAGAGCAAATGCCCAAGAACATGTCAGAGCTTATAGTGTGTCAGTACTGCCATCTGTTGGTGACTTATAATATTGGAAGTATTCCTTTTCATTCACTGCAAATAGCATCAGAATACAAAAGTAGCCCAATTTCATCATATATATTCAAACCAAAGTCACTATAAAAGCCCCCAAAATCTAACAATCCAATTAAATCATCTCCCTGTCAAGATTGTTTTAACAGCTTTGTGAAAAGCCAATAGAGTGTCACCAGGTGAGCATCCTGAAGCGAGATATTTTACAACATTAAATATTTTGGGGCCATCACAGAGAATTGTCTGCTCTGACATCCCTTTTATTATTATATCCTTTTCTGCACTTCGTTAACATTGCTGGCTTCAGAAGGGAATAGTATAATACATATAAATACATGTACATATAATACATAATACATATAAAAATGTCTTTTTATGTACAGGAGCTTAAGGCTCTAGTACCCCTAAAAAGGTTGTAGCCTTACCCTGTCTCACAGTAGAATTGGTAAGGAGATGGAAATATTGTTTGTCCTCATACAACAGGATTAACTTGTGGAACATTAATCTCTTGTAAATCCATAGAACCTCTGTCTGTCTCTCCAGTCTGTAACAGAGAGGACAGAGCAAGTCTGTACAGAATCTAAAATGCATTAAGACATTTTCCCATGTAAAAATGGCTCTAGTCTGAGTTTGCATCTCTTGTAGTTTATGTTTCTCTCCAATGGGAGTTCCTCTCTCCCTTTCTCTCTCTAATCCTTTACTAACTCCAGATCTTTTGAGTATGCAGCTCTGATGTCCTGACCTCAACATTTTAGTGAAGCACATTCCAGCTCCATGATTTCATGACACCAGGCTGAACTCCCAGCTAGGCTGCCTTCTGACTCTTGCAGGGTGAATAAACAGTGAATAAGGCTTACAGAAGGCCAGTCAACTAGGTATGGCTTTAATGCCATGGTTTTAAGAATTCTCTTTTATTCCTCTCGGTATACTGCACTGCTTTATGCTGCCTGAATCCTTTATGAATGAAGTATCAAAAATAAAAATAGTGTACAATAATTACATGCTGCTCAAGGAAGAATGTTGCAAACAGTATAAGAACAAACTTCATCATCCTATCAGTTAGTTTACCAAAAGCGTCAGCCACATATATCCTTCCTGTTTTACTATCATATCAGTCCATTTATTTAATTGCAGTTGTTATTCCTTCTGGTTCTCTATTACTGAAAAAGGAATAAGAGACCTCATTCAAGTCCAGTCTCAGCTTTATAAGCTCCCCTGGTGACGATGGCCAACTACCTCAAGATGTTGGTTGTTTGGAAGAAACGAGAAAGGGAACATGTCGTATGCTGTCTTAAACTTCTGTTTTAAAGGCAGAATATAAATCAAACAAATATTACCCAGTTGTGCCCATATCCTTGACAGTATCATCACTGTTCTGTAATAGGCATTAATCCTCTTAGTATTTAAAATATGTCTCTTCTTTCTTAAAATTTGTTGAAATCTAATTCAGTTTATTGTGTTTTTAGATAAGTTTGTTCCTCAGGAGCTAGTACGATAGAGCCACTTTGAAATATATCTTCTAGGACTGTTATTGGAGTCCATTCTGGTTGGAAGACTTGCAGGTATCTGCAAATCTGTTTAATTCAAATAAAACTAACTCCTGACTAAACTTAAATAAAATTATGCAATTAATCATTTGGCGTGTCATTTAATCTGTTTCTAAAAAAAGTTTCGCTATTATTTTTTCTTAAGAGCCTTCCCTTTTAGACATTATCTAGTAACACAGTTTATTAACAAATTAAGTTTAAAACAAAAGTAACTTCCTCCTCCTCTCTTTTCCTGAAATAGTTTTAAATGCAGTCATGGAGACTTGCTTGCTTCTGTTACAGGTTTCCTTCACCCACAATACCCAGTTGGATAGAGACACCTTTGCTGCAGATGTCTTGGAAATAGGGTTTGTGATATAGCCTCTCTTATGGCCGTTTATGCCTGTCAGGGTTGTCTCTGGGTGATGGTGAATGGATAGGTGAATGATGTTCTCGGATTCAGAGCTCTGGGTAGGGCTGAGATGAGGTCGTGATTATAATTTGGAGGAAAACGGGATTCTCATTAGAAGTCCTAATAATACTTGCACCTCTTCCCAGCCTTAAACACTGGCACATGGAAAATATTTGAAATAAAAATATTTCCAGTTGATTTGGGGGTATATGGGAATGTTTGAAGTGTAATAGATCAAATTCTGACAGCCTGGATTGCTGAGAGACTGGTCAGCCTTAGAGGCTGGGAGTGGAATAAAGCAAGCTTTCTAAGATGTCGTAATTTAGCTAAGCCCTACATGTGTAATTGTTTTAATCTTTTCTCCCACAACTTAGTTGTTCCCAGGCGTTTAATCATTTCAGTTTCTCTCTGAACTCTCTCCAGATTATCAATATGTTTCATTGTTGAGGTATCCATAATGGGTCACAGTATATTAGATGTGCTTTTTATTCTGCATGTAATATGATCCATCCTTAATCTTTTTTTATTGTTATTTTTAAAAAAGGATTTATAACAAATGTGCTACAGTGTGGCTATTCTACATGTTTAATGAAACCATTTTCCCTGCCTGCCTCAGAGTTCAGGTTTCTGTTAAAACACAGAGGTGACTTTTTTCTTTCTTTTCTTCTTTCTCTTTCTTTCTTTCTTTCTTTCTTTCTTTCTTTCTTTCTTTCTTTCTTTCTTTCTTTCTTTCTTTCTTTCTTCTCTCTCT